GCACAATGCAGCAAAGCCTCTGGGAAGATTGCAATGCTGTGGTTTCCAGGGGTTGGTTTATGTGTGGATTTTTATTTTTTTTAACTGTCCTTTCCACTTTCAGTTGGGTAAAAGATTCTGCTGTTTTAAATAAGACAAAGTATTAAAAATGAAATAACGTGCACTGTATTGCGTGACCATTTAAAATCTTACTCATCAAACATAATTAATTTACCTTCAATTGTGGGGGTGTACAGAACAACGTTCTCGTGCAGGCACTGCTCTGTGGGTAACCCCGGCACCCTTGGCAGGATTCTTCCATAGGCAGGAGAAGGTCGGTAATGCTGCAGGTGGCTGTTGTGACCTTCACTGCATGCCAGTCTGTCTAGTTAAGACGAGCCTTTTAGCATGCCTGTGATGCTCCGCACTGCCGAGGAAGACAAATCCCTTCCAATGTCTTAAATCTACATTAAACTTTGTAGCGTGGCAGTAAAGGTGGGGAGCACTGTTGGTCAGTAATGGTGACACAAAGGATGTGCTTGGTTCCGACGTCAGTGATGGTTACATTGCCTTCCCCTTCACACCCCCATATGATGGCTGATTCTGTAGCTAGTATCAAAGGATTTACTTTTGTTTCTTCTTTCTTTGTTATTTTTTCTGCTGGTTTAATGAGCTGAAATTAGATTGCTGAAGGACAAGTCTCTCCCCTGCAAGAATTCCCTGATCCAACATTGGTTTATAGAAGAATCTGCTAGCAAAATCTCAGCCCTGGTCTGTGGGGGCAGGAGGAACTCAGATCAGAGGATGGCCTTTGTGATCCTTAAGTGACCAAAAAGAACCCCCCAACATCCTGAATTCCCTAGGCCAGTTTGCAAATGGACACATTCGAACTGCACATTAGCAAGCTAATGCTCATTTGACATCTTTTTTTTTCATTCACGGTGACTTCTACTCCAGAGGAGAAATGCTGCAGGTAGAAAAGGGAATTGGACACTTTTATGTTGCTTTACATTTTTTGTCTCTATCTTCTCTCAAGCTTGAGCCCAAACATAGCATTAAATAGATACATACAGATCAGAGTAAACCATCTTTGCCGTTCCCTGGTGTTGCTGCTTTATAAGATGTGCTGGAGAATTTGTATCAAGGAGCAAAGCTGGGTTTATGCTGGCAGAGAAGGAGAGGTTTGGCCCAGTTCCAAAGTTCACAACTTTTTTGTGTGTACATGTTACAATTTTAGGGAACCGTCCCAGAATCAACACACGCCTGGGAAACACTTTCCCATCCCACCCTAACCTTCCGCTCACTATTTTTCCTATGGTTGAATTTGCAACGTCAAAATCTTTTATTAAAAAATAAAAGGCCAACTGACAGTAAGTGGCAGATTATCTTTGAGTTCTTATATTTTATGACAGAACTTGCATTGCATGCAAAAGCCAATGAGGGCAGTGCCTGGGCCAATTCAAGGGATGTCTGTGAGTTGTCACGGGGTTAGGAGGCACACCTGTGTATAGAAATACACCAATAGGTGTCTTCTGTGTGTGTGATGACCCCTATGAACATAAAATTCTGAATACATTGGAATATTTTAAGAGATTCAAGTTTTTTTCTGTATCTTATAAACAAAATATGTAGTAACCTTTTGATACAGAAACCAGGATAATATAATTAAGGGTTGTTATTTGTGTGTGTGGCCACTTCAGCCTTCAAGGAACTATGGTCTTGCAATGGAAAAAAATGTGTGAGATGGTGTGATTCCTTGAGTATTGCTCCTGGGATGTAGTTAAATGATTCAGTTGTGGCTGGTTCTTATGAGTTTGCATAAAGAGGTAGAGAGGACACAAAAATCAAGTTTGTGATGGAAATTTCATGATAAAGAGGCCAACTGCTCCCTGTCTCCAGAGAGATCTGTGAGAACGTCAGTGTGAGGTCTGGGATTTTTTTTTTCTTTAAGAAAATATTTACTGGTTCTTTTCTGCATTCCTTACATGGTCTAAACAACATTGAAGCCAAGGAGAATTGGGTTTGGATTATGAACTTTCAGCTTTTTTAGAGTTTAACTGTGAAATTGCTGATAACACTAGCTCTTTTATTTCTTTTTTTTTAAGCTGTTCACTTACGGTACATCTAAACGGAGGTTGTTTTCTCATTGTCTTTAGAATTGCTCATACAAGAATTGTTCAACACCCAAGGATACCTGGATCCATTGGGGTTGTGAACACACACGCTCTTTCTCTTTGTGCTAAGTATAAGATGTTACACCCCTCAGCCCTGGGTGTTTGCTGCTTATCACTAGCTCCCCGGCCAGATATTGTCCCCTCTCTAATCTGCCAGCCCAGCCAGGTTAGCAACAGCATGCTGCTCCTTGAAGGTCTGCTGGTTCACTTTGGTTGAAGATGGTCTTGGGGTGCTTGCCCTGGCACTAGGCAGGGAAGGGGACACTTGTAACAGGGGCTGGTGACAAGAAGGCAGTTGGCAGCCACTAACCTTTTCCCTCAGCACAGCTGTTTGCCCAGCATCCATCTGCTCAGGCTTGTCAGAAAAGCTGGCTGGATCAATGTAAATCACTTAAACCTGGACCCGTGGTCTTGTTACTAGCAAGGTGCCACTCCTTTAAATGCCGCAATTAATAGCCAGCGTCTGAGGGGATATTTTGCCCATCAGTCACTACAGCAAATTGATTTTAGGAGAAATCAGAAAATTGAAAGGAGAGCTGGGGAAATGTCGTGTTTCTGTTTGCAATTGCTCAAACAACCATTTTTTAGCGTTCGTTAATGCCTCCTGGCATTGCAACGTTCCCATCTCATGCCGGTCATTCTGACTAGCGTTTGGCAAACAGATGTTCTAAATGCTTTGAGTAGAACAGGGTCACGCACATGTGGGAGTGTGCAAGAAGATGAGGCAGCTCTTGGGGAGGAAGGCTGGGAGGTGGATTAGGAGGGAAGGGATTGCACAGAGCCCCCAGCCTGGTTGGATGGAGCTGGTTGCCTTGGGGAACCCTGGCCTGCACTAGGAAAGCAGAAGCCACGTGGGGCTGTCGAGGCAACCGCTCTGGTTACTGCTTCATTGGGTTGTTACTTTTCCAACCAGGGGCAGAGATATGCCACAATGTCCCAAGCGCATTTTGATTTTGCCTGCCTTTAAATGCCGCTGGGATATAACCCCCTCTTGACGTGCTTTCTGTTATAGCTATAGGTTGACCCTGTTTTTTTAGCGTTCACCTTGAATTTCAGAGGTTGGCTGGTAAAGTGATGTCAGTAAACCCACTAGTGAAGATTTATACCAGACCTCTATTTTCCTTTGATAATGGATTAAAAAAGATCCCTGAATGGAATAAACTGTATTGACAAAATGACTTTTTTTCCCCTTTTATGATTACATTTTTATTACTTTTTTTAAAATAGCATAACTGTGGGGGAAGAAAGAAGAATTATACCCTATATGGCACAGCAATATCAGCAGAAATCCTGCAGTAAAAAGAAAATAAATCCATATGCTTTATTTTGGAGGTCAATAACAGTGTGAAGTTACTTTTCTTTTAAGTTGCTGGATGCTGCCTAAAGGTTAGGCTGCTTTTTGTCTGCGGCAGACTCAGAGCGCCCATGCAGATACACCAAGTTGGACCTCATGGCTCGTGTTACATGTACTAGCTCAGCCGTGGCAACCTGGTTGTATGTCTCAAGATTCAGGGTGAGGGTTGAGGAGTGCTTAGGTGAGGGTGGCTGGTGAAGGGCCTGCCAGCCCTCCTCCTGCTCCCTCAACATCTGATTTGTTCATCAATCAAATCCTGGGCTGCCTTGGCTCGCAGACATAGTTTTAAGGCAAAACAGGACTGGTGATCCTTGTCTGAAAACACTGTGCTGTGGGCTGTGGCTGTTGTGATGCAGCCTGATGACCAGCTCAGGTACCCAGGGGTGAAACAGAGAGGAGCAAGCACACAAGGTGAATCTTCCTTGTGTGCCTATCCATCAGAGCCATGAGCCTGGCGTTGTTCAGGAAATGGATTTGCCAGCTCTACTGCTTTAAGGATGTCTTTGTTGTCACAACTGCTATAGCTGCACTGGCAAATAATTCGATGTGTACACAAGATCAATGATGTTTGGGTATGATGCTTGTAAGTAAATGAGTACGGATCTAAAGTAAAGTCACTTCGCATGTGTTTCATTGGGTCTGACCCGCCTAACCTGCCACGTGTCACATTTCTGAATGTCTGAGGGCTTACTGTCCCACCGAAATACAGCAGGTTGTTTCGTTGACTGGAGGGGTATCTTAGGCTATAGATAGTAAAACTACCTATAGATACAGCTGTTTGTAATACAGAAGTCTGATATGTCCCTTCAAAAGCGATCTTTGTTTCTTTAGCTAGGTAAACTGATAACTCTGATTTCGACTCTTCTGGAGATTACAAGTTTGATCCAAAACTTTTTTCTTTAAAGTCCGGCAAAACTTGCTGGTGTTAAGCAATATTAATTGAGCTAAGTCACTGGTTTCTTTTATTGTGCCAGCAGCAAATAACCTTCAACAGAACATCTTCTGCTACCATTTATTTCTGGAGATGACTTTCATGGATAGTGGTGGTGTTTGTTAAGTTGAGATCAGTTTGCTCACAAAGAATTTTTCAAGTCTGAATTGAGGGATAAATCTACTTATTTTCTTTAGTCTGATTTGACCTTCTGCAATATAATGAAAGTAAAGGGAGGTCTGTTTTTTTTATTCTTTATGAATTACCAAGTCTTGTTATAATGTATGGAAAAGTCAAGTTTCCTTAAATGTCACTGTTTTATCAGGACTAAAAGTAGCAGTAGTATAACTATTTAGTACTATGTTCTAATGCCTAGGAAAAATAAAGTGTACCTTATTTAGGATTTGTCCAAAACCACTCAAGGAGTTAACCGGAATGCTGAACTTGAAATTAGGTTTCTTGAATGGTCATCCTATGTGATCTGAACTGGTCCATGCTGCTTTGCTATTTCTTATGATTTAAACCTACCTGTTTCAAATGCATTCCCTCTTTCTTGTTTTAGCAATTCATCAAAATGAAGAAAACAGCAGTCAAGAAATAAAAGGACTAGAAGAGCTCAAGGATACCTCTGATGCTCAGGTAAATGTGTAAGATTAATGGTGTCTTGGGAACTTTTTCAGATCTATAAGTTGAAGGATCTGCTTTCAATAGCTCTGGGAAATGGATTTTCCTCGATGTTCTGCACAGGGAGCCCATAGGAGGGATCAAGTCTGCTGGATCTTGTCTTATGTGACTATTTAGAATAAGATTGATGATTACTCTGGGAATTAATCCCATGATGTTGCAATTGGACAGCATTCTTCAACTATCTCTCTGCTCTTTTTAGATAATACCCATAGCATATACCAGATGTGAAAATAAAATGAGATGTGTTTTAGGAAGCAAGGCCGTGTGACATTTTGATTGAATTTTAATCACTGTAAGTAGACAAGCAATGAAATGAGGATACTTATTAGTCACTCGAGTGTAAGCAACAACCTTTTTCTTTCCTTAACTGCCCTCATTTACAACCAAAGCATACTTCTAGATATTGCTCAGAAGAAACTTAACTGCCTCTTATTTTCTTGTAGAATTGCTTACGCTTTTTAATTCTGTGAATCTTTTTTGATTAATCTCCAGTTCATTCAATCATTCAGTTCATGCATTCAAACTGTGCAAGTGTAACTATATTGCTCATTGCTTTGGTACTGATTATTGCTTTTAATTTAAAATTGATTTCTCCCAGTCTTGACTGTTTTTTTTTTCCTTCTATTCCTCTTGAAAATCTTATGTTCCCCACTAGTTGCCACCTTTTCTCCTTCCTACATATGTAACTGCAGTTCCTGTCTCTGATTTATCTCCTAAAACCTTGCCCGCTAAAAAACTCTGTGCAAGAAAGACAGGATTTGCACTGATATCTGTGAGCAAGCCTAGCTGAAGGGGCACAAGCCATGTAGCCAGGTTAGCAGTACCTATGTCTTTCTAAAGGTAGGGGCTGTCTCGACCACCGTGAGCCCAGGCAGGGCTGTAGGCAGCTTCGGCAGCAGACCTGGGCCATAGCAGACACCTGGAGAGTGCAGGTGGAGGAGTTGAGGACCATGCGGATGTGCCTGCTGCATCAGTGTGTAACTGGGCTTTTCTAGCATATTCTTCAGAGTCATGCTCAAGCAAGATGTTTGGAAATGACCTGCTCTTTTCTTAATTATGCACAATTTATTACTTTTTTAAATGTAGTATGAGCCTTAATATGTGAAAATTTTGTTAGCTGACTTTTATTCCTAATTCACATCAGCATGGGGTTGAGGATCAGTCTTCCAGAGCTCAGCTGTGCATTGCAGAGCTATAGAAAAGACCCAGGGGGAAATAGTGACCTCACTGCACAAAATATCTGGCTTTCTGTTTTCTTTTTCAGGTTTCATATATGTTCGGTTCTACTTGATTGTTGTAGTTTTTGTTATTTTTTGAAAATGTTTGTCCAGGTTTATGTTAGAGATGTAAGAAGAAAGACTACAACATGTGCTCAAACCTCCTCAGTAGCCAGCTAATAAGATTACGTGGGTTGGGTATAAAAACCCATAAGAATTTATTATTGGGATATTGATTCACTCACCTTTTATTCAACTGGAGGCCGGCTTCTAAAATTTGAAAGAATTTGAAGCACATTTAAAATTAAACCATTATTAGGTGAGCAGTTAACATAAGTGTTCAAGTGCTCAAGTGGGAGGAGAGCAGGAGCATTATCAAAGCAGCCGTTGCTCCAATTTGTCGGTGCCATAAAAATGCCACCCTGCAAACACCAAATACAGTTTGGTTTAAGGGTGTGAATTATTTTTTTATTTTTTATTACTTTAGTGAGACCGTGCGTGAGACTGGAGGAAAGCAAATGATCTTTCGAGGCCATGGCATATGGTTTTAAGTTTTCAGGTTGATCAAAGCTGAAGCCTGAAATAATTATGTTGTTTTCACCAGACACAGAAGGAGACAGAGGTGCAGTGGAAAAAACCCAAACCACCACAAATTTCTTCTGTTAGCAAAGCTGAAGGATGTGGTGCCTGCTCTAAACACCGCTCTGCGGGACGTAGGCTTGACTTACGTTGGGGTTAGTTGACAAAATTGGTAGAACTGTAGAAAAAATTCAGTAACGGGATTTTTAAAAGCAAGCATGCTGTAAACAATGTAAATAATGTAAATAAATATCCCATCCTGTCTGGGGCTGTCTTAATTCACCTTTGTATCACTGCTAGCATATTCATTTATGGCCTTTGTAGAGGGAATATTTTCCAATGGATGTGCTGAAACAGAAAATGTGTTGTCAACATCTTTTGCTTTTCCAACCTCAGTAGCGACTAATTTACTTTCCTTTCCATTAAACGTTTTAATTTCATTTCAAATATTGCATAAACACCTTTAATTATAGTAATTTTGTGCCGTGAATGGTAGTAAAGCCTTACTATAAAGCTCCTACGTTCTTTTATCATTCATTAAATTAAAGCCAGTTAAAATATGCAACTTTGTGATTTTCACCTTCACATGAGTTAGTACTTGTATCTCTGTTGGTGTATGTGAATTTGAGGACTAAGCACCAACATCTGGCTATGCGGGACTTTGGAGGGTGTGCACCCGCAATCGAAATTGCACTTTGCAGGTAGGGTGACTTGCCTTTACCCTTTCGTCTAACAAACAGCTTCAAAGGTATTGCTTGAAAATTATATTGACAAGTGAAAATGGCTGGTAATAGGAGACCCTATCAACATCTTCCCAACCAGCGTTTAGAAGCTGTCATCAATTAATTAATTAGTTGACCTGCATGTGTTCTTATAAGTATTCAGCAGAAAGATTTATAGTGGAAAGTCAGTATAATTGAGGAAATCAGAATTAAAAGTGAGGGATTCATATTTTTCTTAATTATGAAAAAGCATGTTTAGCTTTTTGTATTTCCAGTGCATTCTTTACTCCCAGAGCCAAGCATGTACAATTAACTTGATAATACCTTAGCCCTCCCAGAAATTTTTTAGTTGACCTTTTATCCTCTGAAAACCCGATGAAATAAATATATTTTCCATGTTCCCTGCAATTCTTTAAATTAAAGAATAGTTGGGGGAGGAGGGGACATGTTAAAATGTAAGATTTCTTCTTTGTGGTCATTTGAAACAAGACAGTATGATTCTTTAATGAAGTTGCCAATTTGAATCCGCACCATATTTGTGGCAGGGCTAACGGGCTTGTACCTAGAGTTATTTCTTCCCTGGGGTGCTGTCCATGCAGAAAGCAGTAATACACTCTGTTTGAACACAGGCAAAGGGCAAGGAGTGAAAGAGAGTGAGGCCCATGTGTTCAAAAATTTGACTTTCTCCAGGATGTTTCTTCCACTTGAACATACTGAAGCCGACTGTTACCCCAAAACTGAAGTCTCCCTTCCTCATCTTAAGTGGTTTTAACCATTAGGCTTTGCTTCATACACTGAAGATCAATGAATGTTTGTTCAGCAGAGTGAACACTGCATTTCTGTCGATATCCGTGTGACATTTGGAAGTACAGGGACTTGTAACCGTCTATGCTACTCGTAGGTCGTGGTCTGACTTGTCTGAGTGCAACTTGAAGGTGTGCAAAGTGCCTCTACAGTAGTAAGATCCCAGATCCACAGAGACTATAAATCTTTACGGTCCCGTAGCCCTAACAGGCCATAACACTTTGAGTTGTCCTTAGCCTACAAGCCTGGGGGGATTACAGCGCACAGATGTTACACTCTCTGCTAGAAGCATCCCTAAGCCATGAAATACGCAGGTTTGTCTGTAGGTGATGTCCCCAAGCCATCAAAGCATTGTGAAATGCAGATATCAGACCTCAGCCAAGTCTGCGACAATTACCTATATTCCCTGTGTGAATTATTGGAGAAAACGGAGAATTTTAGGAAATGACTCATCTGATCATTTTTAAATGTCTAGAGTAAAAATATATTATCTTCTTAAGTACTTCTCTTTCTCTCTTGATTAAATGAGTTGGGACAACTGGCTGAGTACATTGCAGGGGATAACAATGTGTCAGAAATGGTTTATAAATCCATGTCCTCAATGTAGAAGATAAGGAGCTAATCTCATACAAAATGTAAGGACCTTCAGGTTAGGTACCACAGTTCCTTATTTTCTTGGTGGATTTCTGACCCTCAAACCAGTGCGTAGGACCCTTATGTGGGAAAGCTGGGTGCCTGGGGAGGCTGATGGCTAAGCACAGGGCATGTAAAGCACAGGCTGCATCTGAAATTTTTTCCTTCTCCAGTGCACAAGTGCCTGATACAGGCTTGTGAGGAGATGCCTTCATCCAAACTAGAGGAACGTAGGCATGTAAAAATTTATTTCAAATAGTGCAATAAGGATGACTCTTTGGATTTGGTTGTGGAACCTATCTTTTTCCATCACCGTTAAAGCACTTATTCGGCAAGTGGATTTGTTACCTTCCTCAGCTGAAGAAACCTTAACTTACGCTTCCTTCTTCCTTGGAAAAAACAGTAAACTGTAGGAGGATTTGAGTGGGCACCCTCACGCCTTCATCTGCCATGGGCAGGAGTTTCTCAAGGCCAAAGGAGTGGAGCCTGCATGGCACTATGGATTAGTGGTCAGGACATCTCCGGCTTTTGGTTCTGACTCATAAGATGTTTTATGAGTTTTGGAGTACATGCTGATTCAGTAAAACTCAGGATGAACAGCAGAAAGAAAAGGGTGGAGGAAGTGGGGAAAAAGGTTGGTTTGCAGATTGGCTTTAAGTCGTATGGCAATACTGTAGCCATGCCACATGCCTGGCCCTCCCAAGGCATATACTCTTCCCATCAGGAAACATCTGGGCTAATATAAGCCGTTGCAGTATCGTTGTGCCAGATGTCAGTTATGCAGATGCTATATCCACGACAAAATAATGGACAGTGATATTAACCACCAACTGCAGGGAGCAATTTAGCCCTCATCAGCTAACTTTGTGATGGGTCTGATATGCCTGTGTGCAAACATTAATCCGTCTTTATACATATGGCATTTTTATAAAACAACCAGTGCTGAATGTTTTGATGAAACACTATGGGCATAGCTTGAATAACTGGCAGAATACTAGCCAAAAAAATAGTTCTAACATAGTTTTTAAAGCAAACCTCTTTTTCTTCCCTGAACAAAATCGGGGGATGCCGATTTGTTATTTAACTAATAAAGAAACGTGGCACAACTCTCTCTTAACTCTTATGGCTTGTGTACGTGAAAAACGGTTGGAGCTGGAGCAGAGAGAGTTTGTAGCCTGTTATTTTTAGGAGTGCCTTGTGTTGTGCTTCATTCTTTTTCCAGGGCTGTTCCTGGCTAACTTTCCCATGAGTTTTTAACCTCTTGCTCTTGTTCTCTTATGTAACAGGAAACAGGCTGACAGGAACAAATAAAACACAGCGTATCTGATAGTCACACTCAGAGGAGCGGTTGATTTAGCTAGCCCTGCCTTTGCTCCTCCAAAGCAGATACATTTGGAGATTTGGATGTGCCTCGGCTCCTGTCCAGTTGTTTCCCAGGAAGCAGCGGCTTGTTTGTGTTCAGCAAGCGGCACCGAAGTACCGCAAATATGAGAAAACAGATGCGTTGCTTTTAAGGTTGAAATTTGCGGCGGTGTCATGTCCTGGGATTGTGGATTTAAGTATCTGTTTGCTCTTTCTCCCACCCTTAAGGCAGGGGTTTTGTGCAAGCTTCAGGGAAGAGATGACATCGGACGGATTGAGCTGGTCCAGAAGCTGGCGAGAGAAAACTGCCAGTTTTTGCAGACGGATAGAAAACCACTGGAGAAGGCAGAACAAGTAAGATATATCTTGTTCGGGGTTTTTTGTTTCTTTCTGGTAGGGGAGAAAGATTTAGGTCACAAAATTGAAATAGCAAAGCTGATGGTCAGAATCCAGGGCACACATTAGTCATGGAGCTGTAGCTGCTCTCCTCTGGCATTTATGTTTCTCTGAAGTGCATTCAGTTCAATAATTGTCAACACACTTAAATTATTATGTTGCCATTAACTGTCAGATACTGTTACTAGTATCTTATACACATAAGAAATAGCAGATGATTTCAGGATGTTTTCTGCCAAATTGTTGTTAGTGATTATGAAATATTTGGATTTTTAGGATGCTTTTAAATAATGTATATTAGTGCTTCAAGTACTTAGTTTAAATTATCTTAAAGTTTCTTTGCTGCTGTTATATTTGGATGCTAGCATTGGCTGGACCTTTTCAGTGCCAATTCAAAAGAATGATATAGATAGAGAATCAGCAGTTTCTTTAAAAAATGTGTTTTCAACCAAAAGTTACACTGAAGAAAGCAGCATTCTGTTTAATGCTTCTGAAAGCACTTATTCGGATGTTAATAACTGGATTGAAAATGCATTGAAACTTGACTGCTCTGCTTATAGCACAATATATCCTAATTTTGTTCTCCTGGTAAAGATTTCTATTCTGATTGCATATTCATCTAAAGGTACCCAGGATAATAACTGCAAGAAACAACAAAAATCCTACCTAGTCCTCATGTGTCTTGCTATAGTGTATATGTAATTTATTCAATTTTCTACTCGCTGGACAGTAGAAAAAAGGCCTGTGCTTTAGAAAAGACTGACTTTTCAGCTCATCTGCTAGCTCATTCCTACTGAAGTAAGGCTGCACAAAGGAAAAGAGAAAGATGAAATATTATTTCAGAGCTTCATGCTGTTCTTTTCGGCAGCGTATAAGGTCTAGTCTAGTGGAGTTAAATACTTAATTGTATCAGTGGGTGTGCACGAGGGAGGAGGGTAATTAGCCAGGCTCAAATCCCTGAGATTGAATTGTTCCTCAGCAGATCCACTAGCCGTGGACATCTGGCAGAATTTCAATGTGTCTTTAAATGGTATCAGCAAAGCACGATTAAAAGTTTGGGTGCTTAAGCAAAACAGATTTTAAGCCAGAGAAGGTTTATAATTGCGTTTCAGGATTTGGAAGCAAGAATACAGATGCTGTGGGCATAGGGGAGATGAGAATGCTGGGACTGATACTCCAAAAATTCAGTGAATATTTTGCTGCTTACTCCAGTCATTGCAAAGGGTGCTGTGGTGTCAGCTGCAGATCTGTAGCTGCACAGATTACAGTACAGTTCCAAAAATGGAAAGGAAATAAGTGCTCAGCTTTTCTTCTCCTTTGAAAAGTATGGTACTTAGCAATTGCTGCTATTTAGGAGATGAGTGACTTCAGCCTAGCAGGAGCTAGAAGCAGCTGCTCATATCCGTACTGAGCGGTGTAACGCAGCAGTTACTGCTTGTGGGCAAGGATGTGCCTTTAGACCTAGGAGGTGATAGGAAAGAGAAATGTTGCTGGAGAGACTGCAGAAGTCCAGGTCACTCCTCACGTACCTTTTATTTCTGGGTGGGGAATATCTTACAGCTAGTGCTGACGATAACAAATCATGATGTGCTTCCCCCTCCCTGTTCTGCATGTTGCTGGTTACTGTAGGGTGGGGGTGACACGGCTCTTCCCTACAGTCCCGGCAGCCCATGCCCAGATGTAAGAGCGACTTCCAGTCCTTGGAGCGGGTGTATTTGCTAAGACCCCAGCCAGCCTATTGATTTCATTAGGAATAGTCACCAAGAAGGCGTTACTGAACATGGGCAAGGTCTGTCCTAGGGTTGTTAGTTTAGCTGACTCAGGTAATTTACTTTCACTGGAAAAATCCCACGCTTTGCTCGGGTGGGGGTGGTGGGTCGCATACGTTCAGGAAGCTGTGAGCTTCCACCCCTTCCTCTCCCTCCCTTCCTTCCCTGTGCTCCAAGAGCTGCTCTAGTGCATGTGCAGGTGGCAGGGTTTGGCTGGCTGGGCAGAGTTTGCTGCTCCAGGCAGATGTTCTCTCTCTTCTCCAAGGAGAAAAGGAGCAGGCTGAATTGTGGCTAGTGCCGCTCGGATGCTGGCTTTCAGACCTTCCCGTCTCATCCTGCTGCTACAGAAGTGATGGCAGATTCCTTGGCATCGGCTTACTGCCCAGTCCCTTGTGCTGACTGTAAACATTAGAAGAATAACATGTTCGGAGCGTGGTGTCCTTATAAAATTATTTGTAGTGTGCCCATCTTTTTTTTTTTTTCATTTTTAAAAGTATAGCTCACTCTTACATTGCTTTCTGAGAAATACAGGGTAATGGGCACTCGATGTAGGCAGTAAAATGGAGCAGCTCTGCACATTCTCCACAAGACCCTCATTTCTCAGCAAGTATCCCTGCGCTAAAGCTTTCACCAGCTTTCCCTCCTGGGGAGTTCAAACTGTGCTTCCACAGATGATCTGCCTTCCTCAAAGGGATGGCATTTGTACTGTAAACGAGATGCCTGAACACGCTGCCAGGTTCCTCTCCCTGCACTTGGAGGAGCCAGCTAGCCGGGCTGGCCTCCCAGCAGCCCATCTCGGAACAGAAATGATGCTGGTTTGCAGGGCTGTGTGTTTCGGGGGCAGTGTCACTGTTCGAGGCTGGGGGCTTTGTAACCTGCCTGGAAGTAAAACTGGTCTTTCCCAGATGGCCAAGGGGGAAATTTTTACCTGAAGCCAAGTTTTGGTCTGTTCTCCTCTAGGAGTATGCAAAAAAAATCCCAACTTGAACACAGGGTTAGGATTGTGCATATGCATAATTCCTCTCTGTGTGTACTATGTCCCACACACATTATGGGAAATGGAGTTGGGCTCCTCTGCTGCTATTCACTGTGTTTCTAAAGTGCATCTCTTTAGACAAGTACAAACTCACACGGTTTTCTAACATTAACAGCAAACACAAGTGTAGTATGATTGGATTTTGTGGATTCTTATACTTTCCTTTGAAGAAGGAAAAGCTCTCAGCCTAATTGAATAATTTGGTACCCAATGACCCCAATAAATTTTTTCCTGTAGAGTGAATGAGGTGTGTAGCACAATGAGAAGCTAGGCTGTGAGGAGGATTGGTAAGCCCTCCTATCATTCAAATAAATCATCACCATCTTTGCCTGAGTTTGAAGACAGACCTTAGTGACTTACGTCGGAAAGGCAGATGACATGTGGATGCACAAGAGTCTGGTCTCCCAGAGGTTTTTTGACAGATAAAGTACCTAAAGGTGTTCTTCAAGGTGTGGTGTTGGAGGTCTGTGGCCCACAATGGGCAGGTGAAGCACAAATTGGTTTGGGTCGCTGGTTCAGAAGGAGATGAAAAATAATAATTTTTTCTCAGAAAAAGCATATGGCCTGGAAGAGGGGAAAATACGTGACAGCTGGATGGTTCACTGGAGGAAAACTCGTGTTGGAACTATGGTGGGAGAGAGAAGGGATTTCTGCCTTTTGGATGTGTTCTGGAGGGTGTAAAGATGTGGTGTATATATATATAATGGTTTTATATGTGCATACATTTTTACTTCATACTTTAAGTACCCAAGTCAGAAATCCATATTGCTTTTGTTTCAGGTTTCTGGTATGCTATGATTTCTTTTCAGATTTGTGGTCTGGATAAAAGACTGTTCTGAAAAAGTCCTATAATTTAAAAAGTTTTGTGGTCAAACTCTATTATATGCGAGATGCTTGTTTGTGTTTGGCACTGCAAGCTTACTGTGACCAAGTTAGACTGTGACTAAGTTAGGCTGGTATATAGGAAATTGTGTTCTTCTGTAGCACCCAGTGCCAGCTTCCTCTCTGGTGAATATAATGTTTGCGAAGTGCTCTAACTGTAATGGTGCTCATAGACTTGTAGAGGAAAACAAAAACTAAACTGTAGTGATTCTTTTTCCCCATTCCCACTTGCTAATGTGTTAGGATAAAGTCCTTAATTAAGGCACTAAACCTACCATATGTGTTAGGTTTACTAAAACTGCAGTTTTGCTAATGAGTAGAAAGTAAATAGTAGTAAAGCAGCATCTAAACAGGCAGGTAAGCTTCTTCTCTGTGCTGTTGCATTCCTACAATGAGATTCAAGGTATTGATAAATAAGTAAAATTAAATTGTTGTCTAAAATTCACAGAAATTATTCTAATATCAAACATAGGCTAGAGTAAAAGTAAGTATGTAAGCCTGCAGTTCTAACTTTATCATTACATGCAAATCACACTCATAAGCCTAGGGAAATGTGAAACTGGATATTGTATTTTTATGTTATTTAAATATTTCATTCCCTTGAAACTATTGCTTTGACAGAAAATAGATGAAAAATCTGTATTGAAATATTTAGCTATAAAATGAGCCTTCTTTTTTGAGAATTTTACTTACTGTTAGTATTAGTTATAATATAGACAGCAAGCTCTGTACATAAAGCCATTTGAAGTATTTTGTCATAGTTTTTTTTTTCTCAAGCATGCATTTGAAACATATTTGAGGCATGTTTGCACTAACTCTATCTTTTTGGAACTCCTTTTAAGCAACTACAGGCTCCATTAAATAGTGCCTTCATAGTAGATGTGATACTGTTTGTACACTAATTCTAGTTATTATTTCAATGAAGCATTGCACTGATGAAGAAAATCATGTCTGTTTAAAGTGTCATTGTCTTAGCAAAACTGTAAAAGTGCTCTTCACCTCAGCAATATGAGGAAAATATTCTTTAGATTATAGTGCTGTTTTCATCATCAGGTCAACTGAATAAGCTTTCTACAAATTGACATTAATGTTCAAAAAAATTTAAGATTCTCTAATGTGTTCATTAGAGAACTAAAGGATAGGAATTCATTTCTTCAGATAGGAATTAATTTCTTCAACTATATAAATTATACTCTAGGCTGAGGCTTTTCCAGTACTTCCGTGCATCAAAGGGGAGAGGAATGTTTCCTAAATCCAACTTGTAATTCCTT